ATTAACAAGCCTGTTTGGGCTTTAAGAGGGATCCTTTTTGACTTCTGTATCATTTTCTTAATTGTTAAATTTGTGGGTTTTTTTTTTATTTTTTGACAAATAACAATTTTTGTATTATGTATATAATTTTTCAGCCATACTAAATCAGTACCTCTAGTAGACTTCTGCTGTAAACATCTTTTCTATTCAAATTATTATCATCGATAACTTAATTAATCGCATGGTACTTTTACAGTGTAGTTGCTCACGGCTGTAAAGTCATAAAAAAAAATGTAATGTACAGATTACCATTTGGCTACGTGTTCAGTCAAGCGTAAATATTTTCTGCTTTCGCAAATGTCATGTTTTATAAATTCCAACTGCTCTATTATGTGGTTTTTACCAACACATGTTAATCATGTGAATTATAAAATACAAAACATAGCCATAAAGTGTTGTGTGCATTCTCTCTTGCCCTTATTTAGTAATTATGTTTCTATATATGGTCATATAGGAATACCCATACCCATAGGAGTAATAAATGATAATGTATATTAGTTTCATATATATTTATTTTGTTCATTTCATTATTTAATAATTGTTTTATTTATTACCTTGATTTATGCAAGTAATCCATCTATTTTAGCCGATCATATGCGAGATTTCTATCTCTCGAATAATTCATTACAATTTGTTTCCCTTGTAAATCATGCAATATTCATTAGCATAACAATGGAATAATATTGTACTAGGAAAGGAAAGCGCATGCACATTGTCTCATTACATCTATAGTATACAATGAGTGAATGCAAATAGAAGGGGTTTAGGGAGGGGTGTGGGAGAAGTTATGTTGGGAGGGGGGATGGGGAATGAATTCCTATTGGAACACATTCCTCATAATGAAAGAAGTTTCAAGATCTGTCTACACTATTATGTTTTATGTGTAATCTGCCCATATATGGGCATATGACATATAGGTAATCATGTCCATATATGGGTATGAGATAGATGGGAGGGTGAATGGTCACCCAGCTACAATAAGAAAAATAGCTGAACAAAGGGCGGATGAACTCCTCGGAGCCAACGGCCAAACCATGCTTAGTTTAGGGAGTAGGATTAGTTAAGTATCATTCTATTTGTATGTTAAGTGCATAGAGGTTTCTGTGATATGCGCTCTATATGTCGACCATTATTATTATTATTATATATAGGTATGAGATGACATCATGTCTATATATAGGTATGAGAGAACATCATCATATCCATATATGGATATAAGATGACATCATCATATCCATATATAGGTATGAAATGACATCATCATATCCATATATGGGTATGAGGTGACATCATCATGTCCGTAATTGCGAGTAGATTTACAAACTGTACAAAACCATTTAAAGATAAAATATTAAAATGCAACAAGCGAGAAAATCTAAATACAAAGAAAAGGGACCGACACAGGAGAAAAAAAAAATCAGCAACAATTAGAATCACGACAAACCGTACATTCAGAAAAGGACAAACAAAAAGACATTAGCATAATATTTACATCAAAATCAATTAGCATTACGACAAAAAGAAAAACATCAAAACATACTTTAAGAATAGGACAAGAGGAAAACAAACACAAATGAGTAAACAACTATTAAGAGTAATTATACTTGTTCTAAACTATATTATTAAAAAATTAAAACAAAATATATGAGGCAATGAGATATGATCAAGTGATTTTAATTCAACAGTTTCAATCAATAATTGATGTTTTAATAATAATTGATGTTTTAATAATAATTGATGTTTTAATAATAATTGATGTTTCAATATTGTTAAACTTCAATTTGGTGAAGATGATATTTTATCTTGTCAGATTGCAATAAAATGGATTTGATTTGATTTGAAAATTTCAATTATTTAATAGACATTGCAAATTGAAGAAATTTTTACAATTGTGCAAATCTACCATCACTATTAAACAAATCAATTTATACCTCCATAATTTATTGGAGGAATAAACCCAAATGTAGTAAATCATATTATGCAACTAATAAAGGTGTGCTAACGAATCATTAGCAAACAAATAATGTCTAATTGGTGTTAATTAGCAAATCCAAAGACTTAATTATAAAATTCAACTGTGTTTACTGTATTTCCAAGGCCATATACAACACTTCATGCTAAATGCAAAATTACTTCATTAAACTGTAATATAGCATACTGTACTATTAGATTTAAAGTATGTATTAAACCTAAACTAATAAACTATTTAATAGTAGTACAAAGCCTGGCCACACATTCAATGTAAAGATTTAATTTCATGTTTTATTCCTGTGCAGTTATGTTGCCATGTGAGAATTGTTAGTCATTTTCCATGTTGTATGCCCTTATATAGTCATGATATGCCTATATATGGTCTTGATGTACCCATATATGGTCATGGTGTAATATCAAAAGTAAAATTTGATTGTCTCCATAGGGCATACATTTTTCTTAATTTAACTGATTTTGTATGCTTATTATATACTAAATTATTAGAACCTTGACATTAATGCTAATTGCAATATAATTTATAAATAATAATATTGATAATAATGATAATAGTAATAATAATAATAATAATAATAATAATAATAATGCAATATATAATCACAAAGCAATATATAGCTCTACATGCATGATATTTAGATGTTTTAAACACTTTTCTTGAATATTTTAGAATTAATCTCGATTGTTTTGATTATATTTTATTGGAACACCTTTGCTGTGAATTATTTGTGTTTAAAAATGTTTTAAATGAATGAACGGATGAATTAAAATATTTAAAAAAAATGTTTTCTATAATAATAAAATAAAAAAAATAAAAAATAAATAAAAATATAATATTTATTATAATTATATTTATAATAAACATGATATTATAATTATTATTATTATATTTATCTTGCATGTAGATTGGTAAGTCTTATCTTGATTGATGTGTATAGATTTTAGTGGTATGAGATACACCAGGTCTTTAGGCCATAGAGGTTGATAATCACCTTCTTATCTTAATCAATCTGTTTATACAGTTGGGTAGTTAATCACTATAAGGGAACAAAATTAACTGTTTACAAAAAATATTTTCACCTTTATGATATTAAGGCATGCCTATATATAGTCATGATATGCATATATAGTCATGATGAGATGTCATCATGACCATATTTGGGCATGTCATATTTTTATCAAATAAAATGTGATAGTCTTCACGGCCATTTGAAATTCATCAGGTTTAGAGCTAAATAATTACATTTTTGGTGTTTAATTAACTCTATATAATTATATTTTTTTTAAATTAATTTGAAAAAATGTTACCCTAAGGGGGCTATATCTGTGAACTGAGAATAGGTAGAAACAGGAAGAGATGGATCTATTTCACAGGCTTATTACTTTTGGTATTTAAAACAATATTTAATTTTCTCCTGGGATAGGAAACAGCCATAGCAAAGCTCATATTACTGCCTGGATAAATATTATGAATGTTATGGTATTATTGTTTCCATTCCTGAGTTATTTCATATTACAAAAACCTTCTTTGATGCCTAACACTTGGCTATATAAGCAGCCATCTTTGCTTATCACAGTTAGTATAGGATTTTACAATCAACATGCAGAGAATTTTTATATCATCATCTGTAAAACGTCTTTCTGTGACTGACCTTTGCTCTATTTTTGCACTAAGTTATTTCATTCGTTGCATAATGATTTGAGTGAAATGCCAATTTTTATATGGATTATTCGTGTATTGATCTTTTCATTTTTTATTTTCACTGCGTGAATTTGACATTTTGTTTAATGAAACAGAATACATTACTCGTAGCATACCTCATAGCATACACTACGCCATCAAGCCACTGACTAGCTTTTAGATTTATTCATACTGCACTAACATGTACTGATGGTAATGATTGAGGTGATGATGGTGAGAATAATGTTTTTTATGATAATGATTGAGGTAGTGATGATGATGATTAAGGTAGTGATGATGATGGTGATAATGATTGAGCTGATGATCGTGAGGATAATGTTTGTTATGATAATGATTGAGGTAGTGATGATGATGATTAAGGTAGTGATGATGATGATTGAGGTGATAATAATGATTGAGGTGATATAATATGATTGAGGTGGTGATAATGATTGAGCTGATGATGGTGAGGATAATATTTGTCATGATAAGGATTGAGGTAGTGATGATGATAATGATGATGAGATAATAGTGATGATAATGATAATGATTAAGGTGATAATTATGATATATGATAATGATTATGAAGGCGATGATAAAGATTGAGGTGGTGATGATAAGGATAATTGATGTGATGATGATATTGATGATGATGATTGACTGATGGTGGTGATGCTGATAATGATAAAAGTGATGTTGATGAAAAAGATGATGATTGAGGCGATGATGATGACTGATTAAGGTGAAGATTATAATGTTTATAGTTGAAGTTATGATGATGATCGAGTTGATGCTGATGTCATGATGATAATAATAATGATAGTAATTGTGGTGATAGTTATGATGGTTATTGAGGTGATGATGGTTTAATTGATGTAATAATGGTGATGGTGGGGATGAAGATGATGATGGTGGATATACTTTATGAAGTTGCGATTTATTACTGTATCTCTTTATACATACAGACATTGTTGTTGTTACGTACATCATAACATTTACAAAACATTCAAAGCTAGGACTAATATGTAAATGTATTAAAATGTACATTTTAAGTAGACTTACTAGACTTATTAATAGACTTAATATTTATTTGATGTCCCTCCTCAGATTTTGTATTAATTGAGTATATCTGGCAAGAACAGAAAATCTAGCTAGAGGATGACTATTGCATTCCAACTCTCTTCTCAGCAGGACAGATTACATTCCAGCCAACAGCCTACCTAATTATACATAATCTTACTGGTATAATGGCTTAATCATCAATTATGTTTATCTATTTTCTGTTTTCTTTCAGAGTGGACAGACCCCATTGATATGTGCAGCAAACTCAGGGAGACTGGATATCGTTATTGAATGTCTGCGTCTGGGAGCCAATGTCCGTGCTATGGATGAGGTAGGCTATAATTTATTGGTTTACTAAATTTCTGGCATTAAGGAAACAGTGAAATTTAGAATCTGTGTAGTTATGATATGTTGTTATTAGTGATCCATATTATGGTCTTGGAAACTTTGAAGAATTAGAGTTTTTATTTATTTATTTGTTTGTTTGTTTTATTTTATTTCATTTATTTGATTGATTGATTTATTTATTTATTTATTTATTTATTTATTTATTTATTTATTTATTTATTTATTTATTTATTTATTTATTTTTATTTATTTATTTATTCTTTTATTTATTTTTATTTATTTACTGATTTATTTTTATTTATTTAGTTTATGCTACAAGTATAATAACAGTAAAGAGGTAACCAATGATCAAGGACAGCTTAAAA